AGATAATCTGTCAATGTTACTTAGAACCTAATGCAATGTTTGATTTGTAACACGTAAGACAAAGTTCGATATGACTGGTCGTTTTTCAACACTCAACTGGACACATGGAAATTCAACTTAATACATTTTGTTCTAATTTAGTGTTCTGACAAATGTAAAGGAAAAGGGTTTTAGCGTAACGGCTTCTACATATATGTATATAGAGGAATATGCATTACAAAGTTATGAGTTTGACAATCAATTAATTAAGCAATGCATAATATTGTTTGGCTCATATCTAGAATAAACAATATCGAGACAACGTAAAATTAAAAAAATATATATGGGCGTTTTATAAACTGCACCGTCCGTACGTAACTTTATGAATGTTTTAAAGCCTCCAAAGTGATAGGGTAAATGATGGCATCGGCACCCATTGCTTATTGTACGCAATCAAAATTTAAATATTAATTTCGCTATATTTTCTCACCAAAGCATTTCGCTGAAGGTATTTAAACGGAGATTAACCAGTGCCTGGCTGAACATATCCTTAATAAGGACAAACAACCAACCTAAACTATTCCTTAGTCAGCATCAATTTGATTACATTTTGACGACTGAGCAAACCTGTTATGCCAGGTTTTTCTTCAAATGAAATATACGCACTATAAAATACGGCTGATTTCAAATAGCCGATAATAAAACAGCTGGTTAACACGCAGTTTAAATGGAAAGGTTGCCGAAGAAAAAGAGGCTATGTCTTTTGAATTTAAATCAGTAACTGTAACCAGTTCATATTTGTTTGCTAATATGGTTAAGATGTCATACTTAATTATCTTAAAGATAAATCGTCCCGGTCAAACCTTTGTAGAGGTAAGAGGTGGGACGCCCCGTAACGTGGGTAGATCACCTTTTCGTGGTACGTTACGGGATGTAAGATATACCATAAGATATACTGACTACTTCAAACTAGGGAAACAGTATTTTTCAGTTATGAAAGGAACACATCATAGACCTTGTTACTTTTTATGCCTTCTTGAAGACTCGACTTGGTCCACCGAGGATGATCTTGAAACAAGGAAAAAATGAGTTAATTAGTCTTCATCTATGTGATTCCTAATCTTCTATTCGTAGTTCCTTAGTTTGAAGTGGTTAATACTAGGGATCTGATGCATGGTCATTATCGGTGTTATTCCTTAATTTTGTTGCTAAGGAATCCAATTTTGACTGACAAAGGGGTGCGCCTTTGGAAAATGTTTCAACACTCCGAAGGGTATAAATAGCGGGACCTTACAATTAGAGTCGGATCCTTGCGATAAATGCAAGAATGACAACTGTAAAAAAAAATCGAATACTTCATCATTTCTTAATAAAGATGGAGTAATACGACATGCACTAAACTAAGGACACGGGATATACTGCAGTAGATCAAATTACTGACTACTATTACTACTTACCATTTAGGGCTATTCTGGCGATTGGAATGGATAAAATAGCAACCAGCAGATAAATGTAAACAAACAAACACGTCATATGTTTGCGTTACTCCAAGAAATAGAAGTATGGCCGCTGCGTATAAATTCTCAAAATTCGCCTATTGTTGTGTAAAAACGCCTAATTTTATAAGGAAAAATATAAAAACATAATGCGCCATCTGTCTACAAACCATGAAAACCATAAAAAACAAATATAATGAATGTTTTTCAATGCAAAATCCTAATATTTTATTATCATTATATTTTTCCTAAAAAGTATTTGTAATTAAATACCTTTAATAAAAAAAAGGACCACCATTTTGGACCACCCTAACATGGAACTACGACCAAAACTACCAATTTTTACGAATATCTGAGAACTGCGATATCGTTTTGCAATGAAATGGCTGTATTTTTATATTCTTTCAAGCCACACGAATCACAGAACACGTTCAAGTACGTTTTTTTTCTGTAGTTTTCTAGAAAACTCAGTAGAAAAAATAGGGGAGACTAAATCTCCTTTTTATAATATGCATTTGAGTATCATTTTTGCACACATCCCGGAATCGAATGTGTGAACAGTCTGGTGGATTTAATCTTCCCTCACTGAGTTTTCAACATAAATCAAACTGAACAAAAGATCAAACGAAAAAGCAACAATTTCACCAGAGCTGATACGTTTTGGTTAAATATTCAAAAAGTTATTAACATTTTTCATGGTGGTTAAAAAAAGTATTAGGGAGTGAAAACATAATAACTGACCTTAAAAATATAAACGATCAACAAACTGACGCAAATGCCACCACACAATTACCTTCCGTCTAGTGGAAACTTTATGGCAACTTACCCTAAAAAAAACCTTTCAGATTTTTAGAAAACAGGGGTGTTCAGTTTCCCCTACAACCACACGGCCAGGTTTCTTTTTTTACAGACCTTTACACCTATTTAATTTAATTTAATGAAACTTTAAACATGCATTGGTAATTTCAGTTTCAGTTACTTTTAATATATACACTGGGAAAGCACAAACAAACTAGGTTTACCGACAACTATGAAATTAGTACTACTAAGCAGGCTTGCGATATAAAAAATGAATTTGGGAAGTATGACATGTCAAAATGATATTGTATGCTTGTACCTTGCAAGAAGAGGTTTTAAAGCATGTTTTTGACACACAAAAGCTGTCCAGTTTTCTTTCAGAAACTCGTAATCATCGATTTTATGATGCACGTTGCACGATGATTGTGACCCTTTGAAAGCGAAATTGACAGGCTTTATGTGCCAAATAGTAACTTCACAACCTCTTCTTGTAACTTACAAGTACAGATTATCATTATAAAATCTAATGATTAATAATTCCGAATACTTTTTTTTATAGCGAAGTGAGTTGCAGCAACCCTGCTACGCTGCTACTAAGAAAACTCCATGTCCACTGCTACTAAGAAAACTGCATGTAGAACAGCCACAGATTCCAAAGAATGAATAAAGTCAGGCAGGGGAAAATAATCAAAACCCACTTATTCACTTAAGTTTGCCTTTGGGTGCCCTAGTTTTCTGATAGAGAAAAGTCACTGTAGGTGAGCTGCTTCATGGAGAACGTGTGTTATGATTCACGTGGCAGCTGTTTCACCAGACAAAGAGTGACTGGGATCGACATGCTGACGCACATACATGCATACAATAATTCATCACGCGGCATGACAGTCATGGATCACGTGGTTGCAAAAAAAAACGGCATACCTTCATTGGTTGCTTAGATTACCACGGCATGCTAAAATGTTGTTTGGAATAATCGCAGCGCTGCATACTAATCAACTTTTAAATTATACAACTTTGATCTGTTGTGCCTTCAATTAGGTAAATAACACCTAATGTCTCACTTTCTGACAAGTTCAAAAAATCCTAAATTCAAGATATCGTATCATCAGCTCAATTGGTCATATAAGAACAAAGTTATATCACAGACAAATAGACGTAACACTTGCATGGTTTTCATCTGATCTAATTTCGCGGAAAATTTATTTTTCCTTAGTTGGCAGTGCCGCCGCCTATGGCGCGCTTAGTAAATTTCCTTGCGTTTGACGTTTACACACTACCGCCATCTGATGAGCGTACTGCCGATGTCTTACAGTGAAAAATATTCAATGCGTTACGTCTGACTTTCAGTGGTCATATCATGTCCAAGTTGGCCAAGTATGTTATGCGAAGAGTGTTTTTTTTTGGTTCATTGACATCCATTAACCAGATTCTCAAGGCTATGTGTGTCTTTCAATTACCGTAAATTGAATTAAATCAATTGAGAGTCAGATTTATGCTCGGAATATGATGAAGGAAGACCCACACAGTCATTTATCATTTACCATGCTGCTGACCATGGTTGTCTAGCAATTGCTCTGTGAAAAATGTCTTGCAGACTGTTGTTGGGCATTCTTCGTAATAAATATAAGTAGATAAGATAACAAACAAGTACCTACAATTGACAATGTCACCTGTCAGCCTGCAAACCTACAATACAATACAGCAAGGGTAATATTTGCTGCGCAATTTTCTTTGTCTCGGCTCAGCAGGTTTGCATTTTCTTTTCCTTCGGGCAGCTCAGAAGCGATAGGACTCTGAATGGCAGTTATATTCATAACACCACAAACTGAAAATAACAATTATTGCAGTGAGAAGACTATGCCACAAACTTGTTTATTTGTCCGAGTTGGCAAATGAATGCTGTGTTATTTGCGCTTCAAGAAGTCTCACTATTCAGAGGACATTTAACCTTTGAAAATTTGCTGTGCCACGTATATAATGTTAAGGAAAGTTTATAGTGACGCTTCTGGTTTCGCCCACCTCTGTGACTGACTCACGTGTTATGTTTCAAAGGAAAACCAGCGATGACGCAAATTTTATTGGAACGAATTATGAGCCAGTAAATATTTTTTTATGGAGTTCCATACTCGTTGCTTATCAATTTACTCATTTCTTTTGTGTAGCATTTATTTTGGAATGTGTAAGTGAAAAAATGTTTGCCCGATGGATTTCTAATATCATTCACTGACACAAGAGAGAGCCATCAACTTGAGAGTAGAACGGTTGTTTGAGTACCTACACTACGCATGCACACATACCTGTAAGATCAATCATATGGTTTTGTTTTGCTGCAAATAGTAATCTATCTGTGGTGGGAGAGTCTACCGCAAAACATTCATTGAGTAAACTAAGCGCTTTGCTCTCTCTCACGACCTCATCGCTCATCAGAGTGTATAACACTCTCGGGCGGAAAGTTCATTGATATATAACACTATGATTGCAGTTGATAAGTGTGAGTTAGGATTATACTAGAGTTCGTGTTGATTTCATTGCATATTTTTTCTACCTACCAACAGAGCGTGAAAAATCATCATCAATAAAAGGGGACGAACCGGGCCTGACCGGCAAAGTGCAGGGCCGGAACGATCTTAACGGTGCAAACACCATTTCATTCACGAGCGTCGAACGTCAGGATGGCGCCTACGTACCAACCGTTGGCCGCTGGGGTAACGAGTGGCCAAGTTGACTCGCCGTCGTACGCAGCGAGCTTCCCTCGGTCCTACCATTGGACCACGGGCTCGGTCAATCCACCCGACGATTGACCGACCCGGAAAGTCACAGACACAATGTGACGGTTGCGAAAGCGGGCACTGCCCTTGGTACTGCTGACCTCGAATGGACACTCGACGAGGATAGCTATAACCTGGCCAAGTTTGACCAGACCAACGGAGCGTGGCCGATTGACTCGCCGTTACCGCTACCAAAATGGTCAACCAAACTGGCCAAGCCGTACGTCGTCGACAAGGTGTGGCAGTATGAGGATTTGATAGGTTTGATTGAAACGAAACTACAGCGGATGTTGGAGGAGACTCATTACAATACAGCAAATAATTTTGTGGATTTTCACAAGACCTACCGCAGCACTCACAGTGCCGACCCGGATCTTAGAACACATTTTCAAAACTATACGATACCGATAAACCGTCGGCATCACATGTGTGTTAGTTTGGCAATGGAAATTGTGTCGAGGTAAGTCTAGATGCAATTTACTGGAAAATATAAATTAACGATAAAACTATTGTTTTCTGTTTCAACCAACAGATTAGCAGAACACTATCCGCATATTGCGGAGCACTTCTACCTGGTTTCGTGTGAGGAAGCAGTGGAAGAATCGGAAGCCTATGTCAACCACTGCACAGAGAAGAACATCGAACACGCCGCACCAAGTTTAGAGAAGGAGCACGCTCTTGTCGCCATGCAAATCGTGGTTGGAGGGCGGGAAGGTGTACTGATCCTCGATCCGGGTTACCATGTGGCACGCGCTGTTACTGTAATGAAAGATCAATGTTATCCACATACCGGCTGGTTCACGCAATCAGATGAACCTCACTGCAAACGAGAGTACAGTTACGTTTTGAGTCATCATAGTGCAAACTTCATCACCTGGACGGAACGTGTGACGCGAGCCGGCAAGCAACAGTATGAAATGTCAGTAATATACATTGAGCGACCCTATAGAACGGCGATTGACGTTACTGTTCGTAGAAATCTTGTGTACAATTTCCGCTCATTACTGTCTCGTGATGCCAAGGGACGCGTATGTGCCGGTTTGTATTTCCCGGTAGTTCCGAATCCAGCAGATGCACAGGTGACTCTTTTTTACGATAGTGTCAACGATACGCAAGTTAAGCAAAAATTCAAATTCTCGTCGTTTAAAAATCCTCAACAGGTTAGTATATTAAAAACCATTAATCGTAACGAAAGCACAGTTTATAACTTTCTTGTTTTCAACATTTAGATCCCTGAGAATATTATGACTCATTTGGGAAATCTAGCGCCGCAACTGCGAATGGAACAGGCCGAATTAATTGAACTGATGAGTGACCTAGCGGATTCCGTGCATGATGCAGAGTTTATAAAGCAGGTGCTGGACATTAACCATTGTATCACCGAAATGTCAGCTGATAATTGAACAAAAAATCTATTTCTATTTGCTTTTCACACTTAAACATTCCACAGTAAAGATTAGACAGGCACAAATGCGTATTTAACTTTTCCCACAGTTAATGATTGTAGATTTTAATTTGGGTAGTTTTATTTACTTAATACACCGTTTTGTCAGCTCTACGAAGGAGGATCAAAACATTTCTTAAAATGTATCTAATCGCATATATTCACTACATACGAAAACCAAAACTCTTAATCGATAGGTAACACTTAAAACTTCTAGCATTGTATCAACAGACACAGACACGCTAGCTAATTCCCGGCAATAATACCACCATTTGAGCATCAGTTTCAATTCCACAATTGATTAAATCCTTTTGAGATGGGTCTTTAGGCAACATAAATTTGAATTACTAGTTTATTTCTGTATGCCATTGTTATACATGTATCGGCTAATCAACTTTGTTGTATTGTGACACTTAGATAAGCAGAACCAAGCACGATGATTCGGCTATATTTTCCGTGGACATTGTTCAAAATTGTACTATTTATCTAAGATCATTAGCTTAAACCATTAAAAATTTCCATTTGGAACGGCTTGGAAAAATAAGCTTTATTTCAGAACAAATAAAAGAAATCCTTTGAAGCGACACTCGGTAATTTTATTGTAATTGAAATTGTTCAGTGCATACAATGCGCTTTCCGCTAAGTCGGCGTATCTAGAGACCAACTTCCAGTCTATACACCTACTGTCCTTCCCGAAAAACTCACCTTTTTCTACTATAATGATTTCGCTGAAATTATATATAGGTTCACACAAGAGGATTGGAGTTACTTCACTGGAGGTGTAAACTGGTCGATTTAGTTTCACGTGAACTGCGAAAAGAGAAAATTGGAAAATGTTCCACAACCATTTTTTCACAATATTTTCGCTAGCGAAATTTCAAGATTTTTCACATGCTTCAAATTTCACTGCGCTTTGAACGGTATAACTAGCATATACTAGGCTTTATATGTAACCAGCTCAGTGTGCCCGGTCTTGCTCGGGATTCATTATTAGCTTGACCTTTAGCGCCGATTTAAAAAAAAGCATGCTATATTGTACGTAGCCCCCCAAAACTGAAAAAAAGCTGTTCCAATCGAGCAAAGCGGTGCATTTTGACGGTTCGATTGTCTGTCTGTCTGTCTGTTTTTTTTTTTTTTTTTTTTGGCAAGGAGGAAACCTTCAAAAAAGCCATCGTGCCACCGCTTGACAACTGGGCGCACAGTCGCGGTGACACGGTGTGTGAGATTCTTACCGCACTAAAACTTCCTTAGACGCCTTGCCCTTTTTCCCCGGAACCACTTGTCGTATTACTTCGGAGGGGGCCGTGTATTCCGCACCTCGCTTTACCTCAGCTAATTGGCGCTTCCAGTTCGCTGATCGTTTCTCCAATTTGTGAGCCATTTAGCTCCCAGCGTCACGTTCTACTCGGTTATTCTCGGTGGTGGATACAGCCTACTCTGACGGAGAGTTCTCCCGGCTTCGGCTTTCAGTTCGCACTTGTGTGAGCACATTACTACTTTCTAGTTGGTCTTCTCGCCATTTTCGCTGCAACGCTGACATGATCTGCGTTACTGCTCTGCTGTAGGCGTTAAAGGTGCCCTCCTCTCGACACATTTCTTCGACGACATTCTCCGTGCTAAGGGTGAGCATATGCTCTCGCACATCATCAAATCTAGGACATTCGAAGACCACGTGCGCTGGTGAGTCTTCTACATTGCCTCACTCCGGACAGAAGGGTGCCATTGTGTGTCCGAACCGATGCAGGTACTTCCTGAAGCAGCCATGACCAGACAGGAACTGCGTCAAGTGGAAGTTGACTTCTCCATGCTTCCTGTTCACCCAGGTTGAAAGAGTCGCTATTAGCCTGTGTGTCCATCTACCGTTCTCTGCTGCATCCCACTCCTGCTGCCACTTAGCCATCGACTCCGTTCTCACCATTTTTCGTACTCCTCTGGTTTCTCTCGTCATATAGCACTCGTAGCACAGAACAGAAGGGGAAGTGCAAACAAATCGGTGACTCAAAAGGTGCTTCGTTTGTCTGCTCAACAAGCGATGTATTGTGGTAGCATTCCACACGGGCTTTCTATGTGCACTCACACTATCATAGGATGCTGCCTATCTTAACTGCAGGCAGAAGATGCCTTCTACCGCTAGATGCGCTAGTGTTTGCAAATGACAAGTGGAGCCACTTTCCGATCCAAAGTAGTCGTAGTCCTCCACCAAGGTGGGTCTGTCTGTCTGTCTGTCTGTCTGTCCTGTCTGTACTACCATAGAGGTAACTCTAAGACAAGAAGCTCCCGAAGAAACGTGCTCAACTTTTTTGCTCAGCTCTGGTACTCTCTTCGGTCCTAAGCTAATCGATTCACCCCTCGAAACATAGTAAAATCCACTAACCCCTCATTTTATCTATCAAACTTTCATAGCGAATCAAAACAAACATTGTGTAATACTAGAATTTTGACTAGAACGGGGTACGTTAATCGTTTGCTTGGGACCAATAGGCTAGTCAAGTAGTGAGCCAATTTTAAATCGTTAGTTTCCACCGCTTGGTACTACGACGCGGCTCTCAAACAAAGGAGTAACAAGTGTGATACTATCACTGCTGGACTAGATCTTTGGTTTTCTCATGCAGTGGTTCATCAGAGAGGGGAAGCTTAGTAATCCCCATCGCCTGCCCATGGCGCTATTCTATCGCGGCATGAGCCAGCAACGCCGGCCATAAACCTACCGTCTACAACGCTCCACTATGAAGCATACGATTAGGCCCGCCCACCAACGTCCAGGTTAAAAACTAGCCAAGGCGAGGGTTAATAAAGACGGAAATATTCTGTTCTTTAACTAAATATATATACAATATAATCAAGAAAATCAACAATTTTTAGAAAAGGTCCATGAATTCTGGATAATGGCCATGCGGGGCAATGATTTTCGGAGAAGTGTACCATTCGGGGTAGTGACATTTGGATAATGCCATAATGTCGCTTACATATTTGAATAGTTTTCACACCAAAACATTAAGTATTCCGGGAAACTTATTTTCACTTCAATCCTTTGTTAGACGCTTCAACCTTGAATCAGATGATGTGCAACAAATTCTTATATTTTTTGACGTAGGACTACGTCTTTAATTTCGATACTGGGGGTAACATTAAAAAAAAAAAAATCAAAATTCAGATATGTAACGAAAAATCCCAAACACGGACGCAACGATAGAGCGCAAATCGAATACACGACACATTGCTTATGCTCACATGAGCGAGCTCAATGCTCTGTTGATCGCTCACCATTTCACCAGTGAAAGGAAGGAAGGAGAAAAGCAGCGATAATGCCAAATCGTTTTCTTCGTCATTTGCTTTCGAGCAACGAGATAAGCTTCCGACACGATGTATGAGCACGCATCGCACCAATACGAAGACGACGCAGTGTTGCCACATTATTTTCGATTTCGTTCTGTATTTATGGCTGACACTGTAAAATAATCTGTTTAAATTCTATAGTAGATCTTATTGCGGATCGTCGTAAATATACTTTAAGTTCATTTGAAGTTCAGAAATAGTTTGTTCATAGTTAATAATCTTGAAGAATGACTTAAGTTTGCTTTCTAGATAATAAATCTGAAATCCTGAATCTTGATTTTTTTTTAAGTGATTTGTATCTTTTCAAAAAGTCTAAAAATACAAAAAAAATCAAGTCCCAGTAATAAGATACAAACTTGAGAAAAAAGGAAGGAACAATCACATTTTCGTTAAATTTGAATTTTTTATGTCCGAGATTACGAAAATGTTAGTCAGGTCATTTGTTTTATTTACTCAACAATTTTAGAAAATGAAAAATAAGCATTAAAATTTTATGAAGTAGGGGAAAAGTTCTCTTCGGCAATACCTTAACCTATTATCGTCAGGGGTTAAACAACGTCCTTGAGAGCTCAATTTTGGCATGTGGATACATTGTGTTTCAGAGCAACTATTGGCCAAATTTGAGTGCTCTAGGACTTTTTTTTAACCCCCTGACGATAATAGGTTAAGGTATTGCCGAAGCCAACTTTTCCCCTATTAGTTTAAAATGATATGCTCGATGTTTCATTTTCTCAAATTCTTCTAATCAAACCAAATTTCAACTTTATCTAATCATTTGGCAGATTAGAAGGATATTGAATTCGCTAGCTGTTGCGCGAACCTATATAACCTAAGTGTACTCAGTATTTTTTGTGAAAAACTTTGGGATGGTTTCCTCTGTATTTCTCTATTTGCAATCGTATTCATATGTTTTATCAACTTTATTGTATTATGTCACAACACATTTATTTTGATGTTTAGTAGAATTGCATAGAATATTATTTATTTCTGATACTACGCTAGTCAAAAGTCAAAATTTCCAGTTGACTCTTCGACTCACAAACTGTAATCAATCAACTTGTGGGTTGTTAAAACGGCTTGTTTACCGATTCGACAAATCGAAAAATAATAAAAATCATAGTACTTGTCACCATGCTATATGGTTAATTAAACAATAAGAATGAAAAACTAACTCTCCGATTTTTTTCCTTGGTTTGTTTTCCGTCGATTTAGTTTTCCGTGCTGAACACCAATGCTACTGACGCCATGGAGGCAGCTCCCATACCTGGACCCTACCTATCGACCCATCAACTCATGAACAGGGGAACAACGGCTTTACTTCCCTTCCGAAGGAAGGCGTGGATCAGAGATGCTACGCCTCAGAACATCCCGGCAGCGCCGACTGGGATTGAACCCAGGCCTGCTGGGGTGAGAGATAATCACGCTTACCACTACACCACCGGCACCGCTGACTCCCATTCTAACGAGTAATCAGAAATCAGAACACCTGAGCATCAGAAGTCCGTTCAAAATTAACGAAGATAATAAAATAAAAAGTGAAAAATTGGTATTTGGTTACGTGCTCGTACCTACTCAAAAGGAAGAAAGGATTATTTATGGATATTAATAAATATAATCCAGAATTAAACAAATATTCCACTTATTTGAAAAATCTGTAATCTGTATGTACAGATATCTGTATCAAAATTTTGAGAAAAATCTGTATAATTACAGATAAATCTGTATATTTGCACAGAACAGAAGGGGAAGTGCAAACAAATCGGCGAATCAAAAAGTGCTCGTTTTTCTGCTCAACGAGCGATGTGATGTGGTAGCGTTCCGCATGGGCTTTCTATGTGCACTCACACTATCATAGCATGCTGCCTATCTTAACTGCAGGCCGAAGATGCCTTCTACCGCTAGGTGCGCTAGTGTTCGCAAATGACCAGTGGAGCCACTTTCTGATTCGAAGTTCCACTCCTGTGATATTTGGCATCACTGAGACGACGACGAAATCACCCACATCGACCGGAGGAAAGGCAACATGACTAGGCCGCCGACATCCGATCAGCATCGACTTGCACTGGTGTGGCCAGCATTTGAAAAACAACCGACCCTTTTCAGGGCCACCAATTCAAAAACGGAAAGAGTTAAGAACTAAATGATCAACATATTTGTTCCGTCCACTAGCGGTCCTACGTCAAGCTTCTGTTCGTGCCCCTAGGCACAGACCCTTCTACTTTTTATATAGCACATATCGCCATATAAAAGGATATTTTTTGTTAAAAAATTGGCACACTTAACTTGTGCTCGAAGTCTGTAGAATTGGTTCTCAGTACGTTTTGGATATTCCAGAGAATTCTCTTAAATTATTCGGCAATCTTTGACTGTTTTTAATCGAAACAATGGATATTTCTTTCAGAATTAACCTAACATCTAAATGATTTTGAAACTTTTTTTATTATACTTTTCGTAATGATAACGATTGTTCCATTTCGTGAATTAAATTATTTTGTATATTTTTTCTGAACCGTCATTGTTCGGTACAAAATCATATGGGTTTATCTATCTTTATCGGAAAAGAATATCTTCTCCCAAACGCGTACAAAACAGAACAAAAAAAGGTATGCAAAAGATAAAGGAAAATGCACCCTGGCATCCCATGTGAAACATACGTAGACACAATAATGTTAAGAGTTATAATAGTAAAGTGAATGCGTCTTGTGTGGATTGAATTCCACGAGCAGGAAACGCCTTAGCAATCTAATGTCCTTACGAGCGAGTGTACTTGCCCCAGATGTGCAGCATAAACACGGACGCAATGAATAGCAAAGACATCACTAAGACTGGGACTGGGCCACTGGAAAGAAAAAAGTATTATGTAAGTCATTTGACACAACTGCATAACTGAGACTTCTTCATCATTATTTCAAAAGAGCGACATTATTTTGTTAGCCTTGATGGAATGCACCGACTTGTTTTAAGCTCTTAAAATATGAACCAAAAGGAAATAATTAATGCACATCACAGATGGTAAGATGCAAGCTCAACTCACAATAGAACCGTTCAATCAAAATAAATAAAAGTGGTTTTAAACGTACGATAACGCCAATTTTAATGCATAGCTTGTTTAATTATAAGAAAGGCTACCAATATTCTCTTGAGTAACATAATTTAGTAACTTGTATAATTATTTGGACTTTTCAGTTGGCCTTTAGACTAATATCATATTTTTAATTTGAAAGGTAAAGGATAAACTGGTTTAACTAGAATAAAACTGATAGCTAACAGGCATTGTAATTTTGTATGGAATAATTTATCCTATTTCCACAACTAAGCTTACGTTAAAGTGTTTAGGTCACCAAGTTGGTACTCCGGCAGGATTTGAACTTGAGATTTCCTAAGAAACATTGCTTTGCACAATTTTGCACATACATATTATTAAGTAGGGGAAATTGATGTAATGTTGGCCTAAATGCCTCTAATTTGGGCCCATACATAAATTAAGCAATCGACTAAATTCTCAATAGAGACCAAACATATCCATTAGTACCGTCTCAATGACGCGTTCATCAAGATAAAATTGATAAATAGCAGATTTTTAACGATGGGCCCAATCTTAGATCCATAGGCCAACATTAGAGCCATTTCCCCTATCTGCCAAATATTATTAAGCTCAGCGACCATGGTTTTAAAGTGAAAGCACCGAGAGTTTATGAAGAGGTCACAACACGATGTAATACTTACACTTTGATGCCAGGAGAATCGTCGGTGTAGAAGCGCCACATACCACCGGATCCGGTGCCAGTGGTGCGATTCCTGGCAGCAGTGGTCGTGGTGGTGGTCTTCCGTTGTTTCAGATTGCTCGAGCCTCCAGCGCCGCTTGCTCGAGGTGCCGACGTGGGCTTTGTGGGAGATCGACTTCCGCTTCCAACGGATGTGGAACTTGCTGGAGCAGGCTGAAATACATTATTACGAATCACTATATTGTTGAATATCATTTCACTTTCCCTGAAGCATCGATTTGATGGAAATGAACCTAAAATTATAGCACAAATCAATCCCTTTTCCGGGCAAAAAAATACACACCATTTTGATGATTCTGTTGGCTCAGCGATGAATAATCACTGGGGAACTAATAAAATCAGTCTTTCACCGTTTAGAAAACACACACGGAGATGCTCTGGACTTGCTCAGAGTTGGATGGGATTTGCGACCGCGACAATCGTTCCAGCTCACTCAATAACCAAGCTGCCTGTGCACTTTCGGAACACTTTCTGCTCAGGGAATCCACGTATCGAAGAGAACCACTACACGTCGCAAGCAAACGTCACCAAAATGAACCCACGTTCACTGACAGCTGTCATCGAGTTGTCATTTTTGAAGCTTCGACGAAAATGAAATGCACTATAACTAGGGGTAAATATGTACCAACAGGTCTGTGCCATAAAAAAGGGAGAAAATAAAATATAACGAGGGGTCTTTTTTTCAAGTTGAAGCTTGTTTAAGTAATTATTTTCCTAAAATGATTGTAGCAGACCATTGACCAATGCACGGAACAGACGACTGCACGCATTGATTTGAGCTCATTCACTAGAGAAAAAGTGGCACAAGCTACGGGCAATGTTTACTAATCATGACCAAGGTTACTGATACTCGCATCGTATGACTCAAAACCGCTTACCGTCTCCGAACGCGTTTGGAATAATGAAAGCAAAGTATACATTCCTGAACGAACCGAACGATGCCATTAACACGAGTCTTTGTGAGTGACCTGTGTGCAAAGAGTATTCGTGCTGCCTTCCATTCACTCTCGTTCCATTCTCATCGTTCTTTACGAACTGGTGTGATCGGATAAGAGTGCAGGCCTCAATGAACGTTCACGGTGTGTTAGTTTAATACTCGCGGCGAGTGCTACCGGTTGCCAATATGAGCATGACGAATATTGGAAGTTTAAAAAGGAAGAAAATACGGCATTGGATGCAAATATCGTTGCCTCCCGATATAGACGCGGATCGTACAAAAGGTGTTCAATCCGGGGAAAATCAAATGTCACTTTAATGCCTGCCACCCGGAAGTGGCCCAAGGGCTAGAGGAGGAGACTAGTGACCTGGAACAAAACCTGCAAAACGTGCAAAACCGAAAGTGCAAGTGGACATTACTAGGGCTGATGTGCTCCTGGGTACGTTGCAAATGGTAACGGATCACATCCTTCCCATAAGTTATCCAGAATGAGAAGGTGCAAATTTGATTTTGGGTCCCCTGTGGAAGGCGTGTGGTCTGAAAATCTCCCGAAATACTCTGCCTCCGTCAATCCACAGAGGCGCTGAAATCATGCGGCAAATATTGTCTGTCAAATTTCGACAGAAGGCAGTTTGCCTAAAAGTTGATGCGGCCACCCAATATTCAAAGTCAGCATTTGCCATAAACTTATCGTTGCATGGTAAGGTAGTCTATTGAAAATTAATAAACGCATCGTGCCAATATTACAATTGCCATTTGGTATTATTTAAATCATCGGAAACAACTAGGGGCTGTTCGTAGCCGACACAGTGAGGTGAATTTTGAACACGCCAATTGTTCCTGTTGGTAGTGAGGCGGCCAGGTGAATTCCTAACGCTGATTTTTTAAAAAGTTATTCACCACAAAATAAAAATATCCGTTTTCGAGTTATTTATTTATAGAGATTTTTCCAAACTTAAAGTTACTGTTCTCTCGCATACACCTGATCTTACGCACAGTAGTGCGATTAATGAATCATTAAAAATGCTTTGCTTCAGCGCAGCGTCAATCAACCACTCAAGCGTCCAGCTCAGTATATCGCATCGCCGTGAACGCTCGTGGCGAGTGGAATCTTGCATTCTTTGTGAATATTGCCCACAAACGAATAGCAATCGAATTGAATGAACCCATCTAAACTCGTCCAGTAGCAAACAAGTGGATGAGTGACGATTGTTGGTTTGCCTAAAGCCGTAACTCAGTGAATGACGAGAGAATGTAGAGAAGCGCAAAACTGAATTATTTAAAATCATTCGTGGGAGATATATTCTCGTGCACGAGAAGAGAGCCGCTCTCGTGCAGTACTACCATAGAGGTAACTCTAAGACCACTGGGTCCCGAAGAAAATCATTAATATTTTTGGCTCACTCAGTACCAGAACAACGGTCCCAAGCAGTCCCAAGCTATTTCACTCACCCCTGCATGTTCTGCATGAATCCACACACCCCTGATGTTATCTGTCAAACTTTCATAGCGAATCAAAACAAACATAGTGTAGTAATAGAATTTCAACTAGAATAGGGTACGTTAATCGTTTGCTTGGGACCAATAGGCTACTAAAGTGGTGAGCCAATTTAAAATCGTTAGTTTCGTATTGATTGTTGGTACTACCCTTCAGCAACAGCGAGAGAAATATATAACGAATTGTGCTTCGCTGCGAGGATCAGCAACCTTGATCATGACCACTAATGGCGGTAAGCTCCAACTCGGATTAACTTATTATTTATTATATGATTTGGGTAGTAGCTACACTGAAGACCTGAGAGATGTCGCCTCTTCAGTGGTAGGAAAATCTTTTTTGCAGTATGGAGAATATCAGAAAATCCACGATTTGTGACTAAACATGTTTTCACAGAAGGAAACAAATAAACGAGTGTTTACCTTATCACCATAGTAATGTACTCGTGCAATTTTTGCGCATCTAAAACTGCCCATATAGACGATAATGAATAAAAACTGGAAATTTTCATGCATTTCCAATTGGTTTCCTACCATTCCTATACATTCGAAAGTGACTGGCCCTCTCGATGTGGATGATATCAAAAACAACAAAACATGATTAATTAAAGCCGTACAGTAAAAGTATGGACGTCTGTCAAAAGTTGTTCCGATCTAACCGTCAAGATGTACCGCTTTGCTCAATTCGAACAGCTTTTTTCAGTTTTGTGGTGACAGTCATCCATTCTTTAATTAGAGGGCTTTACTTATAATACCGTTTCCAGGGGGACGCTATCCCTGTCAACCACATATAGAACCATAGCTCACATGATTTTGACATTTTTGGACAATCTGACACTTTTGGGCATACTGACAGCACACTTTTGGGCATACTGTCAGCAAAGTTTTTGGTTCATTTGCTCGATTATTTGCCAATCTAAGATAGCTGATGCAAACATTGAAAAATTATACTCCGTCCACATAGATGTTTGATTTGTTGTGCAGTAAAATAATCGTGATGAATGTTCAACAAGCGCGTACATGTCGGAATTAAATATTTATTATTTTAATTTTTTTTAGGCTTAGGATTAGCTTCATGAACAATTCAAGTTTCATTAATGTTTATTCACATAAGTGCGAAACCGAACTTTTTGTCAGTGCGAACCTCAACCTGAGCTAGGTTTGAAAAACAAACGAACAAACTGACGTTTGCCAGAAAACAAGCAGACCCAATCTTGATACCCGATCTCCTACGAACCCCAAAAATGCAACTACTAGAAGCGTGCGATCAACTATCGGCCAGTAACAAGATTATCTGTCACGGCGATTCTCATCACAGGTAAATCGTCTTGTTTTCCCTCGGAGCAAACGTATCACATTAGAGAGTTACTCGGTTGGATTCGGAGCCAGCCTCACTAGTAAAAAAAAATAAGCAAGCAGAATAACCAACAATCAATACGAAACTATCGATTTTAAATTGGCTCACTACTTGACTAGCCTATTGGTCCCAACAAATCGATTAACGTATCCCATTATAGTCGAAATTCTAGTACTACACAATGTTTGTTTTGATTAGCTATGAAAGTTTGACAGATAAAATGAGGGGTTAGTGGATATTCCAATGTTTCGAGGGGTGAATCGATTAGCTTGGGACCGAAGATAGTACCAGAGCTGAGCCAAAAAGTTGAGCACGTTTCTTCGGGACCTACTGGTCTTAGAGTTGCCTATATGGAATAACCATAGAGGTAACTCTAAGACCACTGGGTCCCGAAGAAAATCATTATTATTTTTGGCTCACTCAGTACCAGAACAACGGTCCCAAGCAGTCCCAAGCTATTTCACTCACCCCTGCATGTTCTGCATGAATCCACACACCCCTGATGTTATCTGTCAAACTTTCATAGCGAATCAAAACAAACATTGTGTAGTAATAGAATTTCAACTAGAATAGGGTACGTTAATCGTTTGCTTGGGACCAATACCCAACAAACAATTCAAAGTCACAAATAAGCATACACATTGAATAAATGCTGTATAACAGTGTACAATGCTGAATAAAAAGGGATGTTGAATTATGTGCTGAAAAAAGCTTATTGAGATCGATAGATGCGCCTTTATTCCGCCGTTTGCTCTGATATGATTAATTTACTTATTAAAAGCTTTATAGACGTTGACTGTCTTTCTGATTCAGAACCAGAGGTTTGATCTAATAACAAACTGAATAAGTGTACTTACATTGTCGCTTTAATTCGACTGTTTTCAATTGATTTAATAAAATACTTTATTAGACGTCTTATGACTGTTTTCTAGCTCCATTATTAGATTCCATTGCATTGCTTTACAATATTGCTGTATAAAGGTGAATACAGTCAGCAAAATAGCTCTTATACCACTATGCGTCCATGTTATAATTTCATGCTTTGTAAATGCTTTACAAACGGCGTATTCATTCATTATTCCACAACACTGCTTCAGGCTAACAACAAAACGAAATTGGTAGCATAGTGGTTACCGTTTCCGCTTTCCAAGTTGAAGGTCGCGAGTTCAATCCCAACCTCAACCCTTTTTTTATTTATTTTCTACGCCTAATTAATTTAAATCGTAATCATAGATCGTATCACACACGACAACCAATTCATAGATGTATTGAAAAGAATAGCATCCTTTCCATCGAAATTAGAGAGATGGAGAGGTAACGTTGGTCTCATGTTAAATAACTATGAATGAATTCATCATTCTCACAATTAGCTAGAGTTACGACTGGAAGTGCTGATAGGTTTTCAAATTTAAACCTTTAATACTTATTTAGCTGCCCTTTTGTTGTATTCTAGGATAGCTCAGATGGCAAGGCAAGCGGCTGGTGATCGAAAGGTCATGGTTCGAATCCCATCCAACGGACATGTGTGTATGTAATAAATTTTCTAGGTTATGTGTGTGCTTCGACAGAAGTAATGACACAACAATCACTAACGAGAGAGAAACAACACCCTGCTCTGCCGCGTTCTTATTTTCGGATTAATTATCCCGTAGTTGAATAATCGTTTAATAAATGTATAATAGTGTCTAATTAAACATTATTTCACATGAGAATCAAGCGTCTATATACACCT